AATTTTTTCGGAAATAAAGTATATATTGAACGTGGATTGCTGAATCCTCATTTCAATTGAGACACTGCTAAAATAAGTATCGGGGAGAAAATATACCTTCCTAGCAATTTATACTGCTTCTTTATTTTCTATAGATTTCTAGATTGTCATGGATATGATTAAATCGACTGATGGTCAATATATTACTTCATTAGTTGTTACCTCACCCTCTGATAAGCACACTAATTATCTTATATGAAACAATACTGACAAAAAACCCTCCAGAATGAGGAACACATGGATATTTTTAAAAATCATGCTACATGTATCTGTAACTGAAATGGTAATTGCAAATATATTTGACACATTAATTCTTTCTGTAGGCTTGGCGTACATATTCAATTTTGATAAATTACATTAATTGATAATTTCTATATTAAAGGAGCTAAATCACTAATATTTGGGACCTGTTTTTACTGTAATTTCTAATCAGTTATGTTCGGCGAAATACGCCAGAAGTCTCATATGAATGGCAATCTTTAGCGTCTGGTTTTTCCAGTCTACACCGATGGTATTTATTGCGCATTCTCTCCAGATATGAATATAGCGTCACCATTTGACATGACTTGTGGAATATGTCTATCCCTGTTCTTTGAGTCCCTTGTACCAATAGTAAAATGTTTATTTTGTCTTGAATATTGGATATCAGAAGCCCATCTTTTCCCTGTAAGATCACAAGACTGAAGACCAATGTTGATTTGAATTGACAAATAATTCGTGTTTTCAATGTCGAAGATTTTTGATGATATTGAGTTAGAGACTTAGCTACTTTAATTACCCATCTTTGGAAATCTACGACCAAATCATGATTTCTACTAGCGATGCTAAACGCCGCTAGGAGCGCTGGCTGTACTATTTACAGACATCACAAAAAGTTGACCGAGAAAAGTATACGTCGTGTTACGCCTTGTCATGAATATTCAAAGTGTCAAACATTGACCACGTGATGTTTACCATCGAGAAAAATAGATGAACTTGCTGTCGAGTAGGATTTTGAGAAGCTGAGGTAAGATTTTCTGATATTTTTCATGAATTGAAAATTTGAAGTTGAGAGAAATTTTCGAAAAAGGCCCTCGACGCTCAAGATTTTGGTATATTTGGAAAGCCCAATTCATTAACTACTTAGTTTGACCATTTGTTAAGTCCGTATCCCCCGTAGGAATTCGTAAAATGGCTGAAATTGAACCATGTGGAATTAAAGGGAGGTAACTCGTGGTTGATCAGGGTTCAGACCATAATTACCCCCCCCCCCCCCCAGACTTCAGTGTAAAAAAAATGATGTTAGATTTGGACAGGGTTTTTTATTATATTGAATGTTACTAAAGCTACCAACCAAACTTTAGCCAGACATTTCACTAACAAAGGATAAAAATTGTGAATGTTGTTGACCACCTTGGATTTTTTTTTCAGGAACTGTAGCTGAAGAAGTAAGCTACATAATATATACTCATCCAAATCCAAACCTAGCCAAAGGCGATCCCTGATATTACTTGGTACAACATAAAATAGACAAATGATGATGATATATAGGCCTACTCATACAATTTGCATGAGGACTATAAAAAGGGGGGCTTGAAACTGACTGTTTCTCAGCATTCTCAAGAAAGTCCATAATTATTATAAATTTGGTATGAATCATAGAAGTTAGTTTAATTTATTGTTTGAAATCAGTGTTAGTAATCTTATTTTTGTTATTTCAATATTTGTGATAATATTTATTTTATTTTTAACATTTTCTACCTGAAAGAAGTGGCCTGATGCGTCAAATGTTTTTGTTTATTTTGAAAAATATCGCATATGAATAATGTGATTATTTTATATTGTTATTATTGTTTGTTTTTGTAAGATACATGTATTAGAAATCTTATATTTGTTGATAAATGTGATAATGGTTTCTTTTTTTTTATCATTTATTTTAAACCGGTGGGTGAACATTTTTAATTTCATATTAAAAAGTAACAGATATGAATTTTGATCTTATTGTGATTTTGTTTTTAATATTTTTATATTTTTATGACATAGATAATGTCTCGGCAAGATGTATCACCATCTGAATGTTTATATTGTTTTTATTTTCATGGGATAATGTCTCAACAAGAAAGCTAGACTTCTACCACTGATATTATAATATAGTATATCGTAATGCACATGTATCACAAATTAATTTTTTTAATACTCTTTCATGTAGATCATATCTTACTTTTTATAAGCTTACCTTTTAATTTGGACTCTTTTAAGATATTCAAATGTTTTAATTATGTCTATTAATTATGTCTGTTTTTATTTGAAATTGTAGTAATGTTGATCACAAAAATATAGCTGTTATATAAATCATAGTTTAATTGTTAATTTTCATTCCTGAAACAAACAATTTCAAATTGATGTACATGGCAGCTTCTAAACAACTAAAGCAGTTGGCGTGGCAAAGGCGGCAAATCTGCCAAAAGCTTACAGGTTTATTTCTCATTTTGCCACACACTTTCATGATTTTTAAAAATATCCACAGTATACGTTAGTATAACCGGTTTATAATTGTTGTATGACTGTGAATGGCCAGGGGTCAATGGCCTCGGAACCAGTAGGTGCCCAATTACATACATAAACTTGTTTCTCTTCGACATTGACATCATACAGTCAAAAATTGTGATTTAAGGTGTTGTCATGCAAAAAATAAATAACAGAACAGACTGAAAACACTTTTATGTGTGCTTATTCATTAAAAAATAAGCCTCTGTATTAATGTCAAAGCGCTACAATTTAAGTACACACAAATTTGAAAAAATGTTTGCTGTGATTTGTGCGAAATCGGCACGGATCCCAACTTTGAACCTCTGTAACATAAAAAGTATATACTAGAATATTATAGCGACAATTTGGCTTTATCAAGTACATCTAGATCTTTAATTAGTGCAATTTTCATAGACCTATCTTGTATAGTTACTGAGATATTGGCTTCGGTCACTTTTTTGCGGTTTTTAAAAAAAGCCGTTTTTTAGCGCCTCTGGTTTGCCTTCTTTAAAACGCTATAACTTTTTTAATTTTCAATATTTTTTCGAAATTTTTTCAGATTATTCATTCTAGATAGTTCACAATTGCAGTATCGTTGTCATTTTTGAGTCAATGGTTGTATCTGAAAACCCGTTGGCAATGCTATTTCTACTGCATTTTTACACTACCCTACTGTATTGCAACTCCGAGGGGGTTGACGGGTCTGACAATAATTCAATTTTAAGCGTTTGTTATTGTTGTAAAAATGAAATGAAATGAAATGGAGTTTAACGTCCTACTTTTCTGCTCCTAACCTGGGCTAATGAAGACGGGCATTGTTATTGTTGTAGGGTGGATTTGATACAATAAAATCTTATCTTACCATGGCGACTATTCATTCCTGTGAACCCGTATGTGGCTGAATTCAGGTAATTAATAGGCCTACGGTTATAATTCTATTGTTTGAGTGATAAATAAACCTGAAAAAGTCGTGAAACTATTCTTTAGTGAAAACTTGACATGACCACCGTTCATCCAAAATCCGTTCCGGTACATCATATTTTCAGGTTGTATCTTGATTGTCGACGCGGATTAACTGAACCGGAATAATTCAGAGTTCAAGTGCTACATGTATCTGACATGTAGCTACATTTAGTTCAATACGAAAATAGTGATGACAGAGTTATTTAGGTCAGTTTCTTCCTACTGCTAAACATCTATTGTTGTTAACTTGAGACAAGTTCCATGTTGGTGCATTTACTCTACATGTATGTTCCAGGTGACATGCAAGTTACCTGTGGATATATTTACTCTGTTCCAGGTGAAAAACTCCATGTGGGTGTATTTACTCTCAAGTCTAGGTGGGTGTATTTATTCTGTTCCACGTGACATGTTGCCTGCAGTTGTATTTATTCTCTGTTCCAGGTGATACTCTGACTAGAATATTGGTGTATTTACTCTCTACCTGAGGTGACAAGTTACCTGTGATTGTATTTACTGTCTTTTCCAGGTGATATTAAAACTAGAAATTTGCTTGCCATTTTGATATTCGTGCATTTCAGACCATAACTTCCTGGATTATTGCCCCTGATTGTATGAAAAATGGCTTTTTTTTATTAGCTTGTTCTCTATCCATCTCTTGCAAAATGTGGATGTATCTTGCCTGGCAACCGCTGGTTAATTAAAATAGCTAGATATTAGTGACATACCTGGAATTATCATCCCCTTGCTTTCTTCATTGGGCCTTAACGACTACAAGTTCAATAAAATCCATAATTCTATTGTAAGTTTCAGATATCCGATATAGTTAACTTTCCAAAACATCAACAATCACCACTGTCCCTGCATAAACAAAGGGGGGGGGGGGCGAATTCCTGGTTGTATGTGACAAGGAGTAGGGTGATTTTTCTCTGGGTCCTCCAGTTTCCTCCTACTGCTAAAGACCCCTATGCCCAAGCGAATTATTGAAATAAAATTAAACTATATGTTAGTCCTGAAATGACCTAGTTTGTCATGGATATTAAACCCCGTTTCTCTCTCTCTCTTCTTAAACATACGACCTTTCTCTCTCTCTCCGCTAAACAAGGGACATTTGCATATGGTATTTATAAGTAAATACAGGGAATAACACACAGCTTGCATCACATAGTGTGATTTACCTGACAAGGAGTAGGGTCACCTACCAATCTGTGTGGGTTTCCTCCTGGTTTTTCAGGATTCCGGCTAAAGATTCCTGTTAAACTAACTCTCTCTCTCTCTCTCATATGAAGATGATATTCAGGCTATCCTGGTGTAACAAGAATGGACCATCAACCACTGTAACACCCGAGTTGACCTCATGTTATCGACATGCCCTATAGTCAAACCAATTAATGCTACTGCTACTGTATCATAGTCAAACCAATTAATGCTACTGACACTGTATCAGTCATCATTATCTGCAGTCAATATAAATACAAGAATAATGGCTCATATACAACTTTATTTCAGATTACAGAACTAACATGGTTCATTTTCAAATACATCTTTATTTCATGTGATTAGCCAGAATTATTGATTAATTGTTGCCTGTTGCCGACCTTCAATTTGAGTCCACCCATTTATGAATGCCTGATAAACTGATTTTAAGTTTGCTTATCTTAAATTGTTCGGAAGAAGGTTAAAAATTCGGATACTTTGTAGTGATAATATGGGGTCTTATACTATCAACAATAGCCAGCTTGGACTAATCTAACAAGTTAAATAAAAATGTAGTAAAACACCACAATCTAATATGGTTTGTTGTCCTCAAGTCGACCTGGTCGTTAATATCATGTTTAAAGTTACAGTTTCATATTTTCTAAGAAAGTCAAAACATAATTATTTCTATGTCTTTTGCTCAATAGGTTGTCAACTCACCAAAACATAATTATTTCTATGTCTTTTGCTCAATAGGTTGTCAACTCACTATTATACGATCATAGGTGTCATTCTCACACTTAAAACTCATTTACACCGGAAATAATAACACAATTACCTCTAAATTACTTCCCTTGTTTTCTATTCTCCACCATGGAATAGTTATCTTCAAACGTTGGAATTTGAAGATGAAAATGATATTTTTGCCAATTACTCAACTGGCAATAGTGAATTATAGGATTAATAGGATTATTCTTTAACAAGGTAGGACTGTTTATAGATACCATCTATTTTAAGGCTTTATTTGAATAAATTTTAAAAATATAACTTAAAAATATGAAATTGCAACTTTAATGTATGGATGTTAAATTTGTAATAAACAAAATCATTCAACTCATCTGTCTTCATTAGCCCAGTCGGGAGCAGAACAGTAGGACGTTGAACCCCATTTCATTTCTTGTTACTTTCAATTTGTGTAGATAAATAGTCCCACTTCTCTGCTCTGAAGATGGCCATGCGCCATGCAGTGTACTATTTGTTGCATGAAAACCACTGACAAGGGGAAACCAAGACTGCACCACTGACAAGGGGGAACCACCATGGAAATGAAATGAAATGGGGTTTAGCGTCCAACTGTTCTGCTCCGAACTGGGCTAATGAAGATGGGCATACGTCATACTGTCAAGAGATCTTTTACGTGCACGCCAATGTGTACACGGGACCTTGGTTTTCCCATCCGAACGACTAGACAGCTGTCCTTGTCAGGCCCTCCGGCCTGCACCACTGACAAGTGGGAACCACGCAAGGAAATCTGGATGAACTTTCTTGGCCAATGCAGGGATCGAACACACCCGACCTCCAGACTAGTGAGCCAGCGTCAAACGACCACGGAAAATCCCGAGGAACTATCTCAAGAGTGGAGAATGCTTAAACACTTGCGCGTTAGATTTCAAGGCCTGTCATTGGGTCGAGGGGTGTGGAGTGGTTTTGATTCTCAACTTGTACCTGACAATGAGTTGGATCACCTCCTCAATTTCACTTCAGTATGAGAGAGAGAGAGAAATGGGGTTTAACGTCCACTCGACACAAACTAGGTCATTTCGGGACTAACATATGGTTTAATTTTATTTCATTAATTCGCTTGCACGTAGGGGTCTTTAGCAGTGGGAGGAAACCGGAGGACCCGGAGAATACCCACGAGGTTGGACAGGCGACCCTACTCCCTGTCACATACAACCGGGGATTCGAAACCACGCCAGTCGACTCAATGACAGACTTTATGATACAGCGCGCGTACGCTAACCATTCAGCCATACAACCCCCCCACTTCAGTATGAGTTTTCATGTGTCTCTGTAGAGCAAATGATTTACTACAAACATCACATTTATATGGTTTCTTGCCACTATGAATTCTCGTGTGTCTTTGTAAATGCTTTATCTCTAGTATGATCTCTCATGTGTGAGTATAGATTCCCTTTCTGGCTAAATGATTTATTACAAACATCACATTTATATGGTTTCTTGCCACTATGAATTCTCGTGTGTCTTTGTAAATGCTTTATCTCTAGTATGATCTCTCATGTGTGAGTATAGATTCCCTTTCTGGCTAAATGATTTATTACAAACATCACATTTATATCGTTTCTCGCTACTATGAATTCTCGTGTGTCTTTCTAAATGCTTTATCTCTAGTATGATCTCTCATGTGTGAGTATAGATTCCCTTTCTGGCTAAATGATTTATTACAAACATCACAGTTAAAAGGTTTTTCACCAGTATGAATTCTTAAGTGACTCTGTAGACTACTACTCTGTGATAATGATATACCACAAACATCACATTTATAAGGTTTCTCGCCAGTATGGCTTCTCATATGTATTTTTAAATTACTACTAGTCGTAGACGATTTACTACAAACATCGCATTTATAAGGTTTTTCACCAGTATGGCTTCTCATGTGCCTGTTTCGGGCATAATTCTCAGAGAATGATTTATCACAAACATCACATTTATAAGGTCTCTCGCCAGCATGAATTCTCATGTGTATTTTCAAGTTAAAACGACGTGTGAATGATTTACTACAAATATCACATTTAAAATGTTTTGCTCTAGTTTCATTTAGCATGTGTCTCTGTGGATTACCATTACTAGAAACATCACTGTGACAAACATCACTATCATTACAAGAATTGAACTCTAAATTATGATGAATTTCACAATGTTCCTCTAAATCAGTGTCAGATTTAAATTTCTCATCACACAAATTACACTGATGAACTGGTTCAATATCATCCGTTTTTTCTTCTTTAACATGACAATATTCATCAACATCATCTGTTTTCTCTTCTTTAACATGTTTTTCACAGTGTTCTTCTAAATCAGTTTCTGATCTAAATTCTTCTTCACACAAATTACACTGATAGCATGTTTCAATGTCATCAGCTTTCTCTTCTTTAACATGACAATATTCATCTACATCATCAGTTTTCTCTTCTTTAACATGACAATATTCATCTACATAATCAGTTTTCTCTCCTTTAACATGACAATATTCATCTACATCATCAGTTTTCTCTTCTTTAACATGACAATATTCATCTACATCATCAGTTTTCTCTTCTTTAACCTGACAATTTTCATCTACATTACTTTCTTCTTTTTTAACTTGTACTTTATTTTCCACATTTACTTTATTTTGTTGATCTAAATCACCAAATACACCGCTCATGTGAAATGTTTTAACATCATTAGTTTCCTGTAATATATAAAAGTTATAACATCATTAGTTTCCTGTAATATATAATAGTTTTAACATCATTAGCATCCTGTAATATATAAAAGTTATAACATCATTAGTTTCCTGTAATATATTAAAGTTATAACATCATTAGTTTCCTGTAATATATTAAAGTTATAACATCATTAGTTTCCTGTAACATATAAAAGGTATAACATCATTAGTTTCCTGTAATATATAAAAGTAATAATATCATTAGTTTCCAGTTATATATAAAAGTTATATCATCATTAGTTTTTTGTAATACAAGTTATAATATATAAGCTTACAATGTGTTCGCCATATATTTTGCAGGAGCTATTTATAAGTAGTTTACATGGAAGAAGGTCAACTGCCGACGGGACAACTGCTGATAATATCTTTTGGAGTACAAAATCATATAAGATTATAGTTAAACATGCATTATGCAAGAGCTAAATCTGCCTATTGTAAGTCTTTATTTAGGCTTCAGATGTTATGGAAATTATTAATTAGACCTTTATTTACATGACAAGCTCAAAAACAACTCTGAAGACCCTTCGGTGGCTTGGATACAGCTTGGATTTAAAAAGTCGTCCATTTAAAATAAATCAATAAATGGCCGACCAAGGTAACGTTTACCGTTAGTCATAACTTATAACACCGTTCGACTTTCAGGGAATGTAGCTTGTCGACGGGTGTTCTTTAAGTATCAGAAATGAATACAGATTCTTGGAATGGATCTTCAACACTTTATTTCAGCAGCAAATAATTAACAGCAACAATTTAACAACTTATAATTTCCTATATATCGGCCCTCCAAATAGTATGTTCCCTAAGCTGGTCTCTCCAACTAATGAATATCTTCTTACATACATTTGTCTATTTATAAAAATCAGTTACTTAGAAAGTGTTGACATAAACATATAATTATCGAAGGATTAAGACCTAAGGCATTTAAAATAATAGTAAGAAGAGACTTAACAGATCAACCACTTAGTTGCCAGCATGGCTTAATTTGACTGACAGGTTAATTGCTGTATGACTAACAAAGCATTAATGAAAATTAAAATATATACTTGAAATTTAAAACAGAATTGACAAATAATAAAATAACAAAACAACATATGACCTAGACATCGGTCATACTTCACTACCAGACACTGTTGATGAAAGGCCTGCCAAGCAAGGGTACCATACCTAATGACAATGTTACTCGATAATCGAGAATATGTGGGTGGAGTTATCGTCTATCAATCAAACAATAGGCAATTCTCTTAGACGGTGCAGACACAGTTGATGCCTATTTCTAGTCCAAACTTCCGACAGTGACAACTCCATTCAGAATAAAGTAATTTGACTGGAATTTTCAATATTTTTTCTTTTCTTATCTTAGGTAATGTATCTTAGGTCAATATAAAATGAATTTGATTTTGGATATCCCAACCCTGTCCTACTACACCTGTAATTTTAGATAAACCTGTGCCAGTTTTTGTTTGTCAGTGATTTTTTTGTTGTTGTTCAATAATGGCTCATTAAATAACCTAGGACATGCATGTGGAATTTATTGACTGACGCTTTTCATCTTGGTTGTTGGTCCGCATAAAATTTAGAAGAAAGCCGAGTGAGGATAAACCTGCTTAAGTACCTTGGGGTGGATTACACTTTTAAGGGACGATTTGATACAATAAAATCGTATCTTACCATGTCGGTTATTTACTTCTGTGTCACTGATTCATACAAAAACAACAGTTGCTAAAAAACCTAGAACTCCCATTACTTCAAGAACGTCGGAAAGATTTGCGGTTCACATTCCTCTTTAAGGTGCTTGAGGGGCTGGTACCAGCCATACCTCCTAATAAATACTTAAAACCCATTAAAAATAAGCGTCGGATAACATCTAAAACATTCACAAACTTTAATACAATAAACATTGTTGAAAACTCTGCTACTTCCAATGCGAAGTGCTTCACAGTAAACGTCGCGAAAACGGTCACTCACAACCACTCATTTTTTTATCAGAACTGTGATTGACTGGAATAAACTCTCTGATGATCAAGTAACATCGCCATCTGCGGAAACATTCAAAGCCCGCCTCCACAGTGATTAGTTTTATTAAGCGCTCCTCCTTCATCCGTCGATTAAGTGCCAGTAGTGGTTAATTCGATGTACCCATACAGATACAGAACATTCCTACATACAGTTAATCTAAAATCACTTCCGGTGTATCATATTTAAGGTTGTATCAGGATATTAGACGCGGACCAACCCAACACGAATAATTCATCGTTTAAATGCAAACTCGCATATCTGTATATTTTGTTGGCAACAAAAAGTGAAAATCATCAGTTTATACCTTATGAAAAAAGATCTATAGGAAAAGTTTCGGTTGCTATAGTATTTAAAGTGATTCTATAGAATTCTACAAATACATTGTACAACAGAAGAAGTAGTTGATTCTGTAGATTTGTTCACAATACAGGATGTGGTCATCACGGCCCTGTGCCATAATGGCCAAAAACAGGTTTGGTCAAAACAGCCATACTTTAGTCATAACGGCCAAACAGTTTGGTTATAACGGCCAAAATATAACTGAAGAAAGAGTTCATTCAGTAGATTTGTTAACAATACTACAGATCAAATATAATTTACAATACTACCCTTGTATAGGATTGTTAGTTGATTGAGCAGGCCCGTAGCCAGCTTGCTGGCTGCAGAGGGCAGTGAAGGTTTTAGGGGGGGGGGGGCACAGTCTACAGTGAATATTTTAATATTTTAGAGCCATGGTCAGCAACTTTTAATCTAAAAATTTATTAATGTTTCTATAGAATTGGGGGTAAGAACTATAGAAGTTAATTTGTATCCACAAGTTAGTTGTGAGTTGCAGTACATGTAATCATATAGTTTTCTATAGACCTGAATTTGTAACCTCAAGTCAGTTGTGAAATCCTAGTGTTGAATTGATTGTAAAATCAACAGATCTCTATACAAGTTAATTGAATCCACTTTCTCTGGAACATTTTATGTGTGAAATAAAATGAAAAGGGGTTGAACGTCCTACTGCTCTCCTCTGACTGGGTTAATGAACACAGACATACACCATGCAGTGTGCTAAGAGGGAAATGTTGCCCAGACAGCGATGCTATGAGCTACAAGTAATCTTACATCGAATCCAAATTGTCAAGGGTTCGACAGTGTGTACACAGGACCTACGTTTTTTGTCCAATCCACACTACTAGACAGCTGTCCTGTTCAGGCCCTCCGTCCTACACCACTGACAACGAGGAACCATGTTGGAAAATTCAGATGATATTCCTTGGTCAACGCAAGGATTTTAAAACGGACCTCAGGTTAGCGAGCCAATGTCTTACTTTTATCTTTTCATCATTTACTGTGAAAAAAAAAGTTAATGCAGCTAATATTCTTAGATAAGACTTTTAATGCGATTAATCGTTGGTATATATATCTATAATTCATGTGATTACAGGTTCATATATATCTATATTTCATGTGATTACAGGTTCATATATATCTATCATGTGATTACAGGTTCATATATATCTATATTTCATGTGATTACAGGTTCATGTATATCTATATTTCATGCGATTACAGGTTCATATATATCTATATTTCATGTGATTACAGGTTCATGTATATCTATATTTCATGCGATTACAGGTTCATATATATCTATATTTCATGTGATTACAGGTTCATATATATATATCTATATTTCATGTGATTACAGGTTCATATATATATATCTATATTTCATGTGATTACAGGTTCATATATATCTATATTTCATGTGATTAAAGGTTCATGTATATCTATATTTCATGCGATTACAGGTTCATGTATATCTATATTTCATGTGATTACAGGTTCATATATATTTATGTTGTCTTTTTTATTACTCCTTAAGTCAACTGGTCCTTAATATCATGCATCATGCAGTGTAGTATTAGCAGAAAGTAGCTGCTGAATAATCTCATTTTAAATGGCGGGGGAGATGGGAAGGGGATGGTTAAGGCGTGTAAATTAGATCAGAAGTTCTTTCATTGAATCAGGTGGTGGAGTCTCGATTCCCCACCTGTACGTGACAAGGTGTGAGGTCACCCGTCTAACCTCGTGGGTTTTCTCTGGGACATCCGGTTTCCACCACTGCTAAAAAAAAACCTACAATGTATGTGCAAGCAAATTGTTGAAATAAAATTGAATCATATGTTAGTCCTGGTTTGTCGAGTAGACGTTAACCCCATTTCTCTCTTTAAAGCGAGAATTTCATATTTTCTAAGAAAGTCAAAACATAATTATTTCTATGTCTTTTGCTCAATAGGTTGTCAACTCACTATTATACGATCATAGGCTTTATTTCCCACACTTAAAATTCATTGACACCGGAAAAAATAACACAATTACCTCCCTTGTTTTCCTATTCCCCCCAATGGAATAGCTATCTTCAAACGTTTGAATTGGAAGTTGAAAATGATATTTTTGCCAATTTCTCAACTGGCAATAGTGAATTATAGGATTAATAGGATTGTTCTTTAACAAGGTAGGACTGTTTATGGATACCATCTATTTTAAGGCTTTATTTTAATAAATTTTAAAAATATAACTTAAAAATATGAAATTGCAACTTTAAATGGCAATGCGTGTGAATGATTTACTATAGGATTTCGCTCTAGTATGGGTTTTTATGTGCGTCTATAGTTTTTCACAATGGGTGAATGATTTTGGTGATTTCTGTAGGATCACATTGATATGGATTTTCCCCAGCATGACTTTTTGTGTCTTTTTAAAGTTCCATGACGTGTGAATGATTTACTACAAACATCACATTTATAAGGTTTCTCTTCATTATGTGTTACCATGTGATTATGTAGAGTTCCAAAATGGGTGAATGATTTACTACAAACATCACATTTATAAGGTTTTTCACCTGTATGGGTTCTAAAGTGTGACTGTAGAGTGCCACGCTGTGTAAATGATTGACAACAAACATCACATTTAAAACATTTCACTCCAGTATGAATTCTCATGTGTGACTGTAGGCTTCCCCTCTGTGCAAATGATTTACCACAAACATCACATTTATAAGGTTTTTCACCGGTATGAATTCTCATGTGGGAATGTAGGTTACTGTTATGTGTAAATGATTTACCACAAACATCACATCGATAGGATTTTTCACCAGTATGAATTTTAGTGTGTAAATGTAGACCACTAATTTCAGTAAATGATTTACTACAAACATCACATCTATGGGGTTTCACTCCGGTATGAATTCTCAAGTGAACTTTTAAGGTTCCATGACGTGTGAATGATTTACCACAAACATCACATTTATAAGGTTTTGCTCTTGTATAAATTTGCATGTGTCTCTGTCGATTACCATTACTACAAACATCACATTGTAGGCCTATACCACAGTGACAGTCAGTTATCTGTAGGCCTACATCACTACCTTGACTGTCAGCTGATTGTAGGCCTACATCACTACATGCTTTCAATTCACTACTATGATGTACTTCACAGTGTTTTTCTAAATCAGTATCCGATTTAAATTTTTCATCACATAAATTACACTGATAAACAGTTTCAATATCTTCAGTTTTCTCTTCTTTAACCCAGCAATATTCATCTACATCATCAGTTTTCTCTTCTTTAACATGACAATATTCATCTACATCATCAGTTTTCTCTTCTTTAACATGACAATATTCATCTACATCATCAGTTTTCTCTTCTTTAACATGATAATATTCATCTACATCATCTATTTTCTCTTCTTTAACATGTTTTTTACAGTGCTTTACTAAATCAGTTTCTGACATAAATTCTTCTTCACACAAATTACACTGATAGCATGTTTCAATATTGTCAACATGACAATATTCTTTTTTAACACATACTTTATTTTGTTGATCTAAATCATCAAATACACCAAACTTGTGAAAAGTTATAACATTATTAGTATCCTGTAATATATAAAAGTTATAACATCATTAGTTTCCTGTAATATATAAAAGTTATAACATCATTAGTTTCCTGTAATATATAAAAGTTATAACATCATTAGTTTCCTGTAATATATAAAAGTTATAACATCATTAGTTTCCTGTAATATATAAAAGTTATAACAACATTAGTTTCCTGTAATATATAAAAGTTATAACATCTTAGTTTCCTGGTCTTATACTATACCCTCTATAGAACAAGGTCCTATACTATACCCTCTACAGAACAAGAAATTGTTGAAATTTGTCGGCTTTTTTGTTTTACTAATCTAAAGGAGTTAAATCACTAATATTTGAGACCTAGACATTGACACAAATGGGTCGCAACGCATATAACAATGTAATATGAATGTATATTAACTGATTTACACTAAATCGTTTCCGTTTTTACTCTAATTTCAAATCAGTTATGTTCAGCAAAATACACCAGAAATCTCAATCGAACGGCAACCTCTAGCGGTTGGTTATTCCAGTGTACACCCAGGTATTTATTACCAATGCTCTCCAGCGAAGAATATGATGTTATCGTTTGATATGACTTGTAGAATATATCTAGCCTCGCCCTTCTAGTCCCGTGATACAAATGGCACGGCACAGAAACGCATTATGGTACACGATTCGTGTACCAATGGTAAAAAGTTTATTGTGTCTTGAATATTGGATATCAGAAGCCTTTTTTTTCCCGGTAAGATCACAGCATCAATGTTGATTTAAATTGACAAATAATTTGTGTTTTCAGTGTCAAAGACTTTGGATGATATTGAGTTAGAGACTTAGCTCCTTTAAATCATGCATATACAATTTCACAAAGAGCGTTCACAAGGTTCACAAAGTAAAACAAGAGTCATAATTCTAGAAGTAATTAACGGAAATTGCTGAAATTCAATAGGCTTCTTCGTTTCACTAATTTAAATGATGCATACAAAGTTCAGAAATAAGTGTTCACAAGGTTCAACATAGTTTGAAAAGGAACCAAATATCGCGTAGCTGTTGGATTTTATCAAATCAAACAATTTGCGGTAAGGTTTCACTTCATATTTCAATGAGTTATTATATGATAATTGCCTGTGCCAACCCAAAAAGGTATGTAGCTCGTTTTTCTTAATTCACCGTCACAAATGTAGCATAATTTTTTCGCTTCCTGCAACTGATACTGGTTTCATTTAACTTAAAACAGTTAGTTAAGAGGTTGAGGTTGCAGAGCATGAGAATTTTGTCATGAATAACAAGGTAAGATGTTTTATTTTCCCTGATTAAATAGTTGGAGATTTTTTCAGTTTTCCGTGGAAGATTCGCTGGGAAAACAAACTTGATAAAATGTGGGTGGAATATTCTTTTCATATATGTCCATACATGTAAGTGTATGTAAAAGTGGGAAAAATTTAATTTTTTTGAGGTGACCGAAATTTTATTGGCAGTACTGTAATGGCGAAAGACGTGTCAAATGTAGTCTCTATCATCTGGCGAATATTCCCTGTACGCTTTACATTAGGAGGTACTGGTGAACGAGACTATATCCAATTACAGTTAGACAAACGTCAGAGTGTGCAAATGTGAGAAAATAATTAAAATATTACCAATTTTAATGCTTTGGGATGGAATTAGTTATTAAAAGAAAGAAAAAAAAAAGGGAACTATCATTACATTAAGAATATTGAAAATTTGGATATGTTCCGGTTGAGAGCGATGCCCGTTAAAGTAGGCCTATTTATCACTCGGCAAACCTCTACATCTAGCCTCGACTTTATGACAGTAAGTGATATGTACCTACGCCTATAAAATTGCGATGCGGCACTGGTTTACTTATTTGGATAACTTGCTGCTTTTAAAAAGAAGTTATCATATTGTGCCGTTCAAAGCGTGTGTAGAATTTTCTGTACTTGTTTGAAGAAAATCGGATAATCTTGAAAGAAAAACAGTTTTGAAATATTTGTATGATAAAACATTCTTCAAAGGCGTCGTCATGGGCAACGCCATTGGTACTCCAGGAACTTGAAAGTAGTTCCAATGGTGGACTTCATCATACAGCCAAGGCTAGATGTATGGTACTGGAATATGCTGAGGTTTGCCAAGAGGCCTATTTATACGGGTAGACTAATCACCGGAATGCACCGGAATTCATTTACAATCACCGGAATTCACTTCTAAAATCCCCGATTCCTCCCACAAAACTCACTTATTTTAAATGTATAATACATTTTGATCTCTCCGCAGGCCAGATAAAGGCGCTGTAGGTGAATTTACTTGAAAGACTACCGGAATTCATTTCAAATATATGCATCATGATTATGATAACGTAGGGCGCGTCATATTACCCAATAGGTCGAACTTCAAAATAACACATAATAACAATTTGCGTCGAATTACCCAATAACTCCAAAATAACAGCCAATAACCCCAAAAATGTTGACTGTGGAAACACAATATAACAATTTAGTTGAATTTAAGAAGCCTCGCTGATTTGTGCCAAAATCGGAGGTTCACGGGATAACTCGTGTATGTGATTTTTGTTGACAAGAAACTAAATGTATACTTTCGTTGCAATTCGTTGTTATGCATTGTAATAAAAGATTGATAATAGTTTATTAAAATAAACAATTTAATATTATAGCTATATTTATTTATTTATAATTGCATATTGCGCCGATGGTCACTTTCGGTCATCGACATGGTAACTTGTTTAGAAATAAATAAATTCTCATGTTATCATAGTTTGTTATGTTTTTTGGAGGTGTGATTGTATGTGATTTGTCACCTTTTACAATGACAATTAACTGGTGAACATTCTATATGCCTACTATTGGCATATTATTAAAATTACACTTCATTTAATCTGGACTGCTTCATGATACAACGGATTATCTATGAAAACATCCAAACCATTATTGATGAGACTTTATAATTATTTGATTGGCTGATTATTACTAAGTTAATTTTTGAATAAACTCATCTACATTCGAGAAATGTTCGGTTTTACATTTTACATGGATTACTGCTGTGTTTTTATTGTGTTTCCCCGAGTTGACCATCTGGAAATATCGTTTTACAGCAGATACATTCTTGTATTAATATTAATGCAAAATATAAGTAAATACAATTGTCTTGGGGCGAATTCCGATTTTCTCAAAGTGAATTCCGGTGTTTTAAAGTAATTTTTTATTAATGTAAAATATTAGTAAATATGAAGGTCTAAAGTGCGAATTCAGATATTTTGTAAGTGAATTCCGGTGTTTTAAAGTAATTTATTATTATTGTAAAATATTTGTGATCGAGTACGAAGGTCTGAAGTGCGAATTCCGATATTTGAAAGTGAATTCCGGTGTTTATATGTTTTCAATTTGAATTCCGGTGATTTTCGGTGTTTAAAAGTAATTTATTATTAATGTAAAATATTAGTAAATACGAAAGTCTTAAGTGCGATTTCCGATATGTTGAAAGTGAATTCCGATGTTTATATGCTTTCAAAGTGAATTCCGGTGATTTAAAGTAATTTATTATTAATGTAAAATATTAGTAAATACGAAGGTCTTCAGTGCGAATTCAGATATGTTGAAAGTGAATTCTGGTGTTTATATATTTTCAATGTGAATTCCGGTGTTTATGTGTTTTCAATGTGAATTCCGGTGATTTTATGTGTTTTAAATTCAACATTAATATTAATGGAAAATATAAGTAAATAGGAAGATTGTACGGGCGAATTCTGATATCTCCAAAGTGAATTCCGGTGTATGGATTTGGTCAAATAATATTGTAAGTTAAAATTAGGACTGAAATGCTGATAAAAGAGGCTTTTTGATGAATTACAAATAGGTTCTACACATAATTGTTTTAAAACATCTCAAATTTGACGAGTTACGAGATTTTCTCCATACATGTCAAGTAATCTCCCTTTAATGGTCAAAATATCGGATTTACAAATCATATTAAATGTAAATATTGTCATTGTATAAAGTGACAAATCACATACAATCACAACATAATAAACTATCATAACATGAGAATACTCTGAACAAAGACAATTAATTGTCAGCGGAACTTATTTAAATTGATTTCATTTATTTATTTCAAAACAAGTTACCATGTCATGACAGAAAGTGACAATCGACACAATTTGCAATTATAAATAAATAAATATAGCTATAATATTAAATTGTTTATTGCACTATATATACCATAATATGTTTCATGCATATAATTACTGTTTTAATAAACTATTAATCAATCTCTAATTACAATACATTACAACGAATTGCAACGAAAGTATACATAAGTTTCTTGTCAACAAAAATCTCATACACGAGTTATCTCCCGAGAACCTCCGATTTGGACAAAAACCAGTCACGCTCCTTAAACTCATACTAAATTGTTATTTTGCGTTTCCAGTCAACATTTTTGAAGTTATTGGTTGTTATTTTGGAGTTATTGGGTAACTCGACGCAAATTGTTTTTTAGTGTTATTTTGGAGTTCGGCCTATTGGGTAACACGACGCGCCCTACGTTATCATAACCATGATGCATATATTTGAAATGAATTCCGGTAGTCTTTCAAATAAATACACACACAGGACCTTTATTTGGCCTGTGAAGATATCAAAATAGTAATTCGTTACATTATAATGTATTATACATCTAAAATAAATTAGTTTTGTGGGAGGAATCAGGGGTTTTCGAAGTGAATTCCGGTGATTATATGTGATTCCGGTGATTGTAAATGATTTCCGGTGATTAGTCGGGCCCCTATTTATAGGCCTATTTTGTATGGTACAGTATTGTCTACGATATCACCTTAGGTGGAAGTGGACGTAAAACACCAGAAACGAACGAACGAAAGGGTACAGTTACTATAGCTCTAGGCACCTTGGAGTAGATTACAATTTTAAGAGTCGATTTGATACAATAAAATCGTATCTTACCATGTTGAATATTTAGTTCTGTGTCACTGACTCAGGACAAAAGAACATTTCTACAATAAACAACTATTCTTATTCATTTTGAGCGACGTTTCTGCAGTTAATCTAAGGTCACTTCCGGTTCATCCTATTTAAGGTTGTATTATGATTCTAGACGCGGATCAACCCAACACGAATAATTCATGTTCAAATTCAAACTCAAATGGCTGAATATTTTGTCGACAAGGAAAGTTAAAATCATGAGCGATCCTTTATGAAAAAGATCTATGGAACAATCGTAGGTTCTTATAGAATATTATGCGATTCTATACAACTTCATCTGTATTCTCAAGTCAGTTGTTTAATCCTATAGTTTTCTGTAGAAGTTAATTTGTATCCCCCAAGTCATTTATAGTGATTCTACAGTTATATGTACAACTCAATTTACACCTCAAGTCATTAGTGTAATCCTACTTTATTCTGTAGATTATTTTTCTGGGGGTGGGGGGTTGGATGGCCGAATGGTTAGCATGTGTGTGCTGTATCATACGGTCTGTCATTGAGTCAACTGGCGTGGTTTCCATTCCCCGGTTGTATGTGACAAGGAGTAGGGTCGCCGGTCCAACCTTGTGGGTTTTCTTTGGGTTCTCCGGTTTCCTTCCACTACTAAAGACCCCTTCGCGCAAGCGAATTATTGAAATAAAATTGAACAATATGTTAGTCCCGAAATGACCTAGTTTATTTTGTTATATAAATTCTTATTAAGACATTAAAGACACATTTTGTAAGATTTAGATAAAGAGATTGCTGTTCTTGCTATAATATTTCCAAAATTGATACCGCGTAATTCAAAATGAATATGTTGAAAATTTTATTCAAATTACTCTATTGAGTGTAAGAGGTTTCCAACCATTGTAAATATCGCACACTTGTGAGTAAAAGGCAAGAAGCATACAATCCATGATCTTTTGATCCCTAAGGTCATCAGTTATACATGGAGTAGCTATATCACCATGGATACATGGACTAGCTATATCACCATGGATAAATAGACTAGCTATATTATTTCTGTTGAATTCTGTAGTACTATTGTCACATAAAAACTGTAATCAACATCAATACATGGACTACAGTATTTTATATTACCCTACAGAAAATTGTAATGTCCAAATGTCGGCTGTGCTGTGGAACAGTTTTAGTAAACATTGTGCACTAGGTTCCCCCTTGAAGTCAAGTTTGGTCATGTGCTGTGATTAGGCAGTATTGGTCATGTGCTGTGACTAGCCGATATTGGTCTTGTATCTAGCCGGTATTGGTCATGTACTGTCTAGCCAGTATTGGTCATGTGCTGTGGCTAGCCGATATTGATCATGTGATGTGGCTAGCCGGTATTGGTCATGTACTGTGACTAGTCAGTATTGGTCATGTGGTGTGGCTAGCCAGTATTGGTCATGTGCTGTGACTAACCGGTATTGGTCATGTGATGTGGCTAGCCGGTATTTGTCATGTACTGTGACTAACCGGTATTGGTCATGTACTGTGACTAGCCGGTATTGCCTATAAAAACTTATAAATGTTACAGAAGACGTAACATCTTCCACTGGGTTACGTTGAGATACGAATACAGGACCCCCACCTTATCCCTCAAGATTAAAACATAGAATATTTGTTTTAAATATTTATTTCTTTTATTTTACAGTTCACGATGTGGTGGTTGTGTTTGGCTGGCTTTAGTGAAATGAAATAAAGCTTCACGTTCTGCTATTGTGCTCTGATTGGGGGCCAATGAAGACGGGCTAATGGCATACAGTGTGCTATGAGGAAAAGTTTGTCCATATAACGACGCTACAGCCTACTCTTATATCGAATTCCAACTGTCAATGTGTACAGGATCTTGATTTTTTGTCCCATCCAAACGACTAAAATACCGAGACCTTCACGGTATCTGCACCGAAGGACCTGGAGAAAACCTGCGAGGTTCTGGCAGGTAATGCTACTCTGTGTCAGATATACAAGCCTGTGATTGAAACCAAAGAAACAGCCAGGAATTAACGTCAGTTGTTGTTTTTTGTATTTCAGAGGAGAGCCAAAAAATGCTCCCCTCAATCAACAAATTGGAAAAAAAAGCTCCCCTCAAAAAGCTCTCCCAGTTTTGATAAGAAAAGTTATTTAAAAATTAAGGAGAGTGATCTGATATTAAGGAGAGTGATTAGTTATGTGAATGGGAAATGGTTCTGAAGATCAATAACTGCATGTATTGGGGGTCATTCCTGGTTTCATAAATGATAATAAACCCCAATGACTTTGTAAAGGAGAGGGATTTTCAATTTTAAGGGGAGGGGAAAAAACCTCCCCTCGATCGACATTAGGGTGAGTTGCAGGCGCTTGAGAGCGATCGCTCACCTTAAAAAACAATTACTCTAACATGCATACACACTCGTCGACCAGTCTGTGTAAAGCAATACTAATAAGCCTTTGTTTAGTTTTAGACTGCAGTCATTGTTTTTTAAGGCGAGCAATCGCTCTCAAGCGCCTGCCGTTCACCTGAATGTCAACTGAGGGGAGGTTTTTTCCCTCTCCTTAAAATTAAAAAATCGCTCTCCTTTACAAAGTCATGGGGGGTTTATTGTCATTTATGAATCCAGGAATGACCTCGTAACAGTAACTGATTTTCAGAACCATTTCCCATACACACAACTAATCACTCTCCTTAATATCAGATCACTCTCCTTAATTTCTAAATCACTCTTCTTATCGAAACTGGGAGAGCTTTTTTAGGGGAACGTTTTTTTTAATTTGTTGATTAAGGGGAGTTTTTTTCAGCTCTCCTCTAAAATACAAACAACAATGACTGAGACTGTTTTGGATAATTAGCAAAATCGATTTTTGAGCACATCTATATTTGATCATTTTATGTGCTCTATTACGTTTTCCCTCCGATATGAGTTTTTGTGTGTCTTTGAAGGTTAAAACTTGCGGAAAATGATCGAGTACAAACATCACACTTATACGGTTTTTCACCTGTATGAATCCTGATATGTTTCTTTAAAGTACTACTACCAGCAAACGATTTACCACAAACATGACACCCATGAGGTTTTTCACCTGTGTGGATTCTCAAATGACCCTGTAGATTACTACTGGTAGTGAATGATTTACTACAAACATCACATTTATAAGGTTTTACTCTCGTATGACTTTTGATATGCTGCCACAAACCCTGACTGAACCTAAATGATTTACTACAAACATCACATTGATAAGATTTTTCTTCCGTATGAATTCTCATGTGACTGTATAGATGACTACTCTGTTGAAATGATTTATCACAAATATCACATTTATAAGGTTTTTTCCCAGAATGAATTCTAACGTGACTGTAAAGATGGCTACTCTGTGAAAATGATTTACCACAAACATCACATTTATAAGGTTTTTGACCAGTATGCGTTCTCCTGTGTCTTTGCAGAATATTACTCTTGGTAAATGATTTACTACAAACATCACATTGATATGGCTTCTCACCTGTATGGCTTCTAATGTGACCATTTAGATGACTACTCTGTGAAAATGATTTATCACAAACATCACATTTAGAAGGTTTTTGACCAGTATGAATTCTCCTGTGTGACTGTAGACCACTATTATGGTTAAATGATTTACTACAAAAATCACATTTATAACGCTTCGCTACAGCATGACTGTCAGCTGATTGTAGGCCTACATCACTACCCTGACTGTCAGCTGATTGTAGGCCTACATCAATACCCTGACTGTCAGCTGATTGTAGGCCTACATCACTATCATTACCAGCTTTCAACTCTTCTTCAATATGTATTTTACAATGTTTCTCTAAATCAGTATTCGATTTAAATTCTTCATCACATAAATTACACTGATAAACTGGTTCAATATCTTCAGTTTTCTCTTCTTTAACGTGACAATATTCATCTACATCATCAGTTTTCTCTTCTTTAACATGATAATATTCATCTACGTCATCAGTTTTCTCTTCTTTAACATGACAATATTCATCTACATCAACAGTTTTCTCTTCTTTAACATGACAATATTCATCTACGTCATCAGTTTTCTCTTCTTTAACATGACAATATTCATCTACATCATCAGTTTTCTCTTCTTTAACATGGCAATATTCATCTACATCATCAGTTTTCTCTTCTTTAACATGACAATATTCATCTACATCATCAGTTTTCTCTTCTTTAATATGACAATATTCATCTACATCAGTTTTCTCTTCTTTAACATGACAATATTCATCTATATCATCTGTTTTCTCTTCTTTAACATGACAATATTCATCTACATCATCAGTTTTCTCTTCTTTAACATGGCAATATTCATCTACATCATCAGTTTTCTCTTCTTTAATGCGACAATATTCATCTACGTCATCAGTTTTCTCTTCTTTAAATTGAGCATGGCAATATTCATCAACATCAGTTTCCTCATCTTTAACATGTATTTTATTGTGTTTTTTTAAATCATCATATTGTTGAAAAATCTCATCACATACAATACACTGATGGAATGTATTAACATCATTAGTTTCCTGTAATATATAAAAGTTATAACATCATTAGTCTCCTGTATTATATAAAGGTTATAACATCATTAGTTTATCACCACTTAATAAAATATGAATGCATCTAAAAGGGGCATCGGTTTAAGGGATGATTTAAGTGGCAGAATATGTCAACTGCGAATATGATGATTAAGCATCCTTTTCATCATAACATACACTACATACGTCAACCCTCAAGTCTGTACCAGGCATCTTAATTGGCTGTTTTTTGTTGACTTTATCCACTTGAAATTCAATCAAGCCGATTGGTAAAATAATGAACCGGCCACTATGGTATCATAATTATTATTTGTTAATCTTCATTGAATGTAATCCCCTGATAGAACACCGAATACACCGAGAAACGGTCATTATTAATACATTTTCCTGATAGAATCTTCAGTGCCAATTCCAATGACATTTGACATATCGGTTGGAATTAGGTTTAAAATAGTGTTTACCGATATGATTTTTTTTATTATATACACATACTGAAAAAGGCATAATTTTTAAAATATTGTTGTTTTTATTGAAAGCTATATCATAATCTTTCAGAATTTTTATGTTAAAGCAATTTCAATTATGGTTGTCACATGACAATTGTGACATTTGTCTATCATCGACAAATGAATAAAACCATTTGCAAATTACGTGACTAGTTACATGATAGACAAAATAACTACAAATTATGTTATGAAGAAATGCCTTGGTGCCGCATCAGCTTATTTTGGCTACGGCATTCTCTGATACTGGCAACAGAACAATACTAATATTTTAGATCATCGACTTATGAAATGTGAACGTTTAATCGAAAAATCCAAGACAGTATGCCTAATTTATTCTGGAATATTACTGACACGAACTTCAAGCTGGTACGTGAATTAAGTAAGGAAAATTTTTAAAAGGTTCACCTGTCGTTATTTCTGTGATAATCACATACATTAAAATACGACATTCTCCATAACAAATTACCAAGAATTATTTTTGTTGAAGTCTAGTTATATTAAAGGGAATGGAAGCTTATAATCAAACCATTTCATACGGGTCATCATTTGACCCGATTCTGGTCGGTTTGTTTCAAAATGGGAGAGAGAGAAATGCGGTTTAATGTCCACTCGACACAAACTAGGTCATTTAGGGACTAACAGATGGTGCAATGTTATTTCAATAATTCACTTGTGTGTAGGGGTCTTTAGCAGTAACAGGAGGACCCGCAGAAAACCCCCAAGGTTGAACAGGAGATGCTACTCCTTGTCACATACAACTAGGGATTCAAAACCACGCCAGTTGACTCAATGACAGACCATTCGACCATCCACCCCCTCTTCCTGTTTCAAAATGGATTAAGAACCCTGGTCTGTACTAATTTAAAAATTGAATAATCACTTATATCCACAAATTTTTAGAGCGTGAGTTTCAACATAAAAAATAATAAACCCTTTGTAACATATTAGTAATACATGATGTATTGTGGGGGGTGGGGGGAATGTGCTATTTATCGTAGCCCGTTCTTAATTTTACCATGACAGCAGCACTGGAAAACACCGGAAAAACACTAAATACCAGAAAACACACTAAATACCAGAAAACACACTAAATACCGGAAACCACTCTAAATAGGTAACCCGGAGAAGGACTATACTATAAACCGGAAACTAACTCTCCGGGTTAACTATTTAGGGTATTTTCCGGTATTTGGTGTGTTTTCCGGTATTCGGTATGACATGGTGTTTTCTGGTAGTTTTCCGTATATAGTATTGTTGACTGACAGTATGCATTGACCCTAACTCTTTGGTGCCGAAATGAATAGGTCATCAAGCATGTATCATCCGACTGATACATGGTAATACACATGTATTCAGCAAGGTTGACGGTGACTTCAGGCGAGTTGTGCTTACACATCTGGAGACAAAGGCTTTTAATTCATTTCTTTATCGCCGAGATCTAATTTATTGTGTGCTAAATACTGGATATATGATGATCCCATATTTTCATTGCATGATAATATTGAGTTATATAGGCCTACTCTTTAAGGGTGGATTTGATACAATAAAATTAAATGTTGGATATCCATGGTTCTATATTTTCACAATATGAAAAGGTCAATACTGAATTCTAATTTGTGTTTTTTAAATTCTAATATTATGGATAATAATAAAGGGTGGATTATATCACAGAATTTGAAACAATAAAATTATATCATATCTTACCATGTTAATTATCTATTTTTGTTATATTTGGTGGACTTCAGATGATTATTCTTTGTCTGAGTCTATTTATAGTTTGTTGACTATAGTCTCTATTATATATCAGACTTAGCCTTGACTTTTTTCTTCCAGTCCACTCAACAAAAACAGCTTTCTTCTGATTGAAAAGGATAAGGGGATTCGCCTCACGCCGATATCGTAGACAATTAAGTCTCTGATGAAATTGGAAACGTTGCTTTCATCACAGGTCACAGAGATAGATAAATCCAATTACCCCTAAGTACCACTAGAATTTCCAGTCAACAAACTCGGTCGATGGTTGGGCTAAAATTTGATAATAGTTTGTTTGACTGAAATAAAAAACGCACTAACTCAAATATGATTACATCGTTTTTGTCTATTTTGATTATTTTCCCCCAAGTTCAAATCTGACAGTTGAAGTCACAACTTTATTGAGATTTTCCTTCCAATAGCAATCCCCTAAACAACGTGTTGACCTCTCTTTACGAGTAAGGTCGTCATCTAGGGTTAAGGGTCAACGACTGACGTCATCAACTGATAACAATGGCCGTACTAAAAAAAACAACTTGAATTAAGTCTGTGTCCGATGCATAAAACTGCTGACAGCATTGTATCTAGTCGCTTCGGAATAAAAACAACCGTGTGGAGGGATTTATAGAGGAGTAGGCTACATGTTGTTATCTTAGTTACTGCCACCTGCACTGCTTAATAAAGTCAAGCTTTACGTTTTTCCTCGTCATATTGAGCGACTGGATTATTCGACTGAATTATCTGCTTGATTTTTTTTTTCGACCGGATTATTTGACTGTTTTTTCGGCTATCCCCGGCCCTAAATACCTAATTATCAGACTACTTTTGCCCCATAAATCGAACTTGAAACTATTTGGCAGGGGAGGGAGGTGCAAGCCCCGGGCTCTTTTACAGCTATGGCTATGACTGAACTACTCGGTATTATCTTAGTTCACTGCAATTCCTGCATATTATTGAGCGACTGTTTTTAACTTCTCATCATATAACTGTCAAAAGCACATTTTGTCAACTTGAGCTGGTATGAAGACCCAACTTGATCTGGGATGTGGATTTATCGACAGTGATATTCGACTGGTTTTATTGACTGAGATATTCGACTTCTTTTATTGACTGTGATATTCGACTGGTTTTATCATGGTATTATAAGGTCCATGGTTTTATCGACTGAGGTATTTGACTTGTTTTATCCACTGAGATATTCGACTTATTTTATCGACTGAGATATTCCACTTATTTTATCGGACTGGTTTTATCGACTGAATTATTTGACTGAATTATTTGACTGGTTTTATTGACTGAGATATTTGACTGGCTTTATCGTCTGGATGAGGCCACAAGAAAATAGTTTTATTGACTGGGATATTTGACTTTTTTCGACGATAAAATCAGTCAAATAATTCAGTTGACAGAATCAGTCAAATAATTCAATTGAAAAAAAACAGTCAAATAATCTAGTCAATAAAACCAGTTGAATAATCCTGGCGAAAAAAGTACCGGTGGCAGTGAGCTAAGGTAATATAGAATAGCCCAATCATGGTCGTAGCCAGGGGCTTCACCCCCCGCCCCTCCCAACTACTTTAAAGTCAGATTTTTCGGGCAAAAGTAGTCTTATGATCTAGGTATTTAGTTGATACATGTACTTAACTGGAGAGTAATGTTTTTGGCCCGTCATCTAAGTGAATAGAATCCTACATAGGCCTGTAGTCAGGGGCTGGGGGTATTGGACGAGTCAGGTTTTTTTTTGTGACCTCGTCGAATATTTCGGTGTATATTTCAGTCGAAAAAAAGCAGTCGCTTGACTTGATGGTGGAGGACCATACTTTATGAAGCACTAATTGGAGTGAACTAAGATAACAATAAGTAGCCTGGAGCCACGGTGGCTAATTGAGTAAGACACTGGCTCGCTAGCCTGGAGGTTTGTTCCTGGTATTGGCCGAAAAAGTTCCTCAGGATTTTCCGGGTGGTTTCCCCCTGTCAGTGGGGCAGTCGTTTGGATGGGATGAAAAACCAAGGTCCCATGTACACATTGGCATGCATGTAAAAGATCCCCTGTATGGCATATGCCTGACTTTATTAGCTCAGTCGGTGCACAACGTTAAAGCCCATTTTATTTCATTGAGTAGCCCTTTCATGCTCATAACACGGTTCCACTTTCAGGAAATGTATCTGGTCGAGTGTGTTCTCTAAGTATCGGAAATGAATACAGATTTTTCGAATAGATCTTCAACACTTTATTTCAAGAGCAAATAAATAACAGCAACAAGTAAACAACTTATAACTTCCTATAAATTGGTCCTCCAACTGGTATATAGGTTCCCTCAGCTGGTCTCTCCAACTATAATTCATCTTACATACATTTTTCTTTTTATATAAATTAGTTACTATGAAAGTATTGACATAAACATATAATTATTGAAGGATTAAGTCATTTAAACAATAGTAAAAGAAACTTAACAGACCACCCAGTTTAGTTATTTAAATCGACTGACAAATTAATTGCTGTCTACTTCTAATGACTAACCAAGTGAACCAAGATCAATAAGTAGCCTGGAACAACAGTGGCTAAGTGAGTAAGGCACTGGTTCGCTAGCCTGGAGGTCGCTGGTTCATTCTCGGTATTGGCGGAGACAGTTCCTCAGGATTTTATCCAGGTGGTTTCCCCTTGTCCGTAGGACGGAGGGTGTGACAAAAACTACAGCTGTCTAGTCTTTCGGATGGCATAAAAAACCAAGGTCCCATGTACACATTGGCGTGCATGTAAAAGATCCCTTGGCAGTTGGAATTCAATATATAAGAGTAGGCTGTAGCGCTACTGTCGGGGCAAAATTTCCCTTGTAGCACACTGTATTGCATATGCCCATCTTCATTAGCCTAGTCGGTGCACAACAGAAGGATGTTAAACCCAATTTCACTTCATTATGTAGCGGGAGTGATTAAGTGGGTAAGACGCCGGCTCGCTAGTCTGGAGGTTACATGTAGGTGTTCGATCCCTGCATCGCCCGAAAGAGTTCATCCAGATTTTCCGGTGTGATTCCCCTTTGTCAGTGATGCAGGACAGAGGGCCTGACAAGGTTAGCTGTGTAGTCATTCGGATGGGATGACAAAACGAGGTCCTGTGTACACATTGGAATAAACGTAAAAGATTCCTTGACAGGTGGAATTCGATGTAAGCGTAGGCTGTAGTGCACTGTCCAGACAAAATTTCCCTCATGGCACACTGTATGGCGTATACCCGTCTTCATTAGCCCAACAGTAGGACGTTAAACTCCATTTCATTTCATATTATTAAGTAGCCCTTTCATGCTCATAACATGGTTCGACTTTCAGGGAATGTATCGCGTGGAGTGTGTTCTCTAAGTATTGGAAATGATTACAGATTCTTTGAATAGATTTTCAACACTTTATTTCAGGAGCAAATAAATAACAGCAACAAGTAAACAACTTATAACTTATAACTTCCTATAAATCAGTCCTCCAACTAAGTTGGTCTCTACAACTACTGTATAATTCATCCTACATACACTTGTCTTTTTATATAAATTAGTTACTATGAAAGTGTTGAAATAAGCATATAATTATTGAAGGATTAAGTCTTAAGCCATTTAAAACAATAGTTAAAGAAACTGAACAGATCAAACACTCTAGTTGCCAGCCTGTCATAATTTATATGGAGTGACAAATTAATTGTTGTCTGCTTCTAATGACAAACCAAGCATTAATGAATGTTAAAATATAGATTTGAAATTAAAAATAGAATTAAACAATAATAAAATAACATATGACCTATACATTAGTCATGTGTATCCACCTTTAAATTATTTCAAACAAAAACATGTCCCCGTGTTTTAATCATTAATACAATCAAAATCCTTATTTTTCCATTATTCAAAATAACATAATCTATAACTATTTTCACGATAATAATTTCTATTCCTGTACAAAGGATTCCTGCTGTAAGGCCTAAAATGTCTAAATCTGTGATCTTGAGTCTTGACTACTGGTGCATTTGGCACTAAAACCTGAAACATCGTTAGTATCCCGAACATTTTGAACACCCGCATCCTTTTTACTGGAGGTCACAGAAACCTGTACTTTTTGGGCACCCTTCTTTGCAAAAAATTCCAGCTGTCGCTGTCTATCCCTTTGTATTTGGGCAAAAGAACGATATTTCTTTTCCGGACTGGGTAATTAATTTTCTGAGAAGTCCCTTTTAAAGCCCATTTAAACCCCTGTTTGAGACTCCAAGACAGATAGTTGATCAAGATTTCTTATTGCTGCTACTGCTGCTGAAGGAAGAATAAATACAAACAACAACGACTGAGATTGATTTATACAAGAATTGAAATGACATGGGATTTAACGTCCTACTGTTCTGCTCAGACTGGGCTAATGAAGATGGCAAACTCCATACAGTGTGCTACATGTACATGTATGAGGGATATTTTTCTCGGACAGCGGTACTATGGCCTACTCTTATATCAAATTCCAGCTGCGAAAGGTTCTCTTACGCCTAATGACTACTCGGTATACATTGTCTCTTGCCAGTCCTGCACCAATAATAAAGGGGGAAATACGCAGGAAAATCCTAACGAACTTTCTCAGACAATACTGAGAGTGAAGCTGACAAACAACAACGACTGAGACTGTTTTGGATAATTAGCAAAATCGATTTTTGAGCACATCTATATTTGGTCATTTTATGTGCTCTATTACGTTTTCTCTCCGATATGAGTTTTTGTGTGTCTTCGTAGGTTAAAACTTGCGGAAAAAGATCGAGTGCAAACATCACACTTATACGGTTTTTCACCTGTATGAATTCTCATATGTTTCTTTAAAGTACTACTACCAGCAAACGATTTACCACAAACATGACACCCATAAGGTTTTTCACCACTATGGGTTCTCAAATGACCCTGTAGATTACTACTGGTAGTGAATGATTTACTACAAACATCACATTTATAAGGTTTATCACCAGTATGAATTCTCATGTGTTCCTGTAGATTACCATTCTGATTAAATGATTTACTACAAACATCACATTTATATGGTTTCACGCTTGTATGAATTTTTATGTGTTCCAGTAGACCAGTACTCTTGTTAAATGATTTATCACAAACACCACATTTATAGGGTTTTTCTACGGTGTGACATCGCATGTGTCTCTGTAGGTTACATCTATGAGTAAAAGATTTGAAACAAACTTCACATTTATAACGGTTTGCTACAGCATGACGGTCAGCTGATTGTAGGCCTACATCACTACCCTGGATGTCAGCTGATTGTAGGCCTACATCATTACCCTGAATGTCAGCTGATTGTAGGCCTACATCACTACTCTGACTGTCAGCTGATTGTAGGCCTAAATCACTATTCAAATCTTCACTATCATTACAAGTTTTCTGTTCTTTGTCAACATGTATTTTACAATGTTTAATCAAATCAGTGTCAGATTTAAACCTCTCATCACCCTGATGAACTGGTTCAGTATTATCAGTTTTCTCTTCTTTGACATGACAATATTCATCTACATCATCTTTAACATGGTCATCTACATCATAAGTTTTATCTTCTTCAAAATGAACATGACAGTATTCATCTACATCATCAGTTTTCTCTTCTTTAACATGTATTTTATTGTGTTTTTCTAAATCATCAAGTTTTTGAAAGATCTCATCACACACAACACACTGAAGTAATGATTTAACATCATTAGTTTCCTGTAATATATAAAAGTTATAACATCATTAGTTTCCTGTAATATATAAAAGTTATAACATCATTAGTTTCCTGTAATATATAAAAGTAATAACACCATTAGTTTCCTGTAATATATAAAAGTTATAACATAATTAGTTTCCTGTAATATATAAAAGATATAACATCATTAGTATCCTGTAATATATAAAAGTTATAACATCATTAGTTTTCTGTAATATATAAAAAGTTAAAACATCTTCGTAAGTTTTTTGAAATATATAAAGTATATTTTATGACGAAAATTTAATATATTTGTGTTTTATTGTGACAACAGTACTCAATAATCAAGACTATGTCCTGATGCACCATTTTAAACAATAAATGAAATGAAATGGGGTTTAATGTCCTACTGTTCTGCTCCTATACTGGGCTAATGAAGACGTGCATACGCCATACAGTGTGCTATGAGGGAAATATTGCCCGGGCAGCGGCACTATCGCCTACTCTTATATCGAATTCCAACTGCCAAGTCATCTTTTACGTGTATTCCAATGTATACACTGGACCTCGGTTTTTCGTATCATCCTAAGGACTAGACAGCTGTCCTTGTCAGGCCCTCCGTTCTGCACCACTGACAAGGGGAAACCACGTCGGAAAATCCAGATGAACTTTCTCTGGCAATGCAGGGATCGAACACCCGACCTCCAGGCTAGCGAGCCAGCGTCTTAACCACCTAGCCACCGTGGCTCCCTTTAAACAATAGAAATCTCCTGTAAACTACATGTACAATTACTGTGAAAAATAAATCTGAATGATAATGGTTCCATTCCATTTTTGTATTTACAAAGATACAGTAAGTGGAATTGAAATTTGCTTGCTATTCAGTATGAATGAATGAATGAAATAAGAGTTTTATGGCACGTCAGCTCCAACCAGTCTATATTATGCCAAACAGCTATTCAATAAGCCCACTGCTATTTTGTTGTCCTTAAATAGTCAATAATAGGCTTGATTCAAAATCTGACTGAATCTGCTTAGCCAATATTCAAAATCTAGGAATGGAATGTTACCGTAAACGAAAATTCTTGCTATACTTCAATTATGTATCGATTTTATGTAATAATTGTTTTTGTATGTTGAAACTGAAAACAAAAACTTTAGTGGTATCATTAATGACAGTTTAGTCTGTTGATTGATGAACAGCAATAATTTTTGGTTACGGTAACATTCCATTCCTATATTTTGAATATGTTTACGTTTTTGAATGGCAAAATTCTACTTGAAAGTAGTGTTGAATTATTATAAGTTTCTGTTAGATGTGTCGAGAAAAAAAAGAAAATCGCTGTAAAAAAAATAGGCTTTGAACTGTGGTAGTGTAAAGCATTATTTTCAAACCAAGCTGATTGGGACCATGGCTGATTGGGACCAAACGTCAAAGCTGATTGGGACCACCACTAGGCTGATTCGGACGACACAATAAAAAATACTAGAAACTGAGGTTTTGATATTGAATTAAGTTTAAAGGAGTTTTATCTAGGCTATAGTGTGACTATAATTATGTGCTTTTATGTAGGCCTACGTTATTTATGTTTATATTCCATTTTTTTTATGTCACAGTTACTATATTAACAGAGATTATCTCATTAATCTTATGTAAATTATTATACGTTTTATGCAATTTAAACAGACCATTTTTATTTTATTTTATAAACTTCATAGCTTGTTTCGGAATCCATTATAGCCTATATATTGTGTGTAATTATACGTAGAAATACTGTTTAAACCAATTTATGCTAATTTCAATAAGTCATACAAATTTGAAAACTAATACTAGCAATACAGTAGCATAACGGAAATCTGAATCCATTATACATATATTGTGTGTAATTATGTTATAGAAATAATGTTTAAACCATACAAATTTGAAAACTAATACCAGCAATACAGTAGCAACAGTAATCGGTTATTTCAAAAATGATGTATATAAAAGCAGTCAAAATGTTTATCCTACCTTGTACAGAAAAAAACATAATAGATTTATAGACTCAATTTTAACACAAGTAAACAGGTACTATATTACTACATGAAACCTTGTTAAAGAATAATCCTATTAATCCTATAATTCACTATTGCCAGTTGAGAAATTGGCAAAAATATCATTTTCAACTTCAAATTCAAAAGTTTGAAGATAGCTATTCCATGGGGGGGAATAGAAAACAAGGGAGGTAATTGTGTTATTATTTCCGGGGTCAAAGGATTTTTAAGAGGGAGAATAATACCTATGATCGTATAATAGTGAGTTGACAACCTATTGAGCAAAAGACATAGAAATAATTATGTTTTGACTTTCTTAGAAAATATGAAATTATCGCTTTATTTAATGCATCTTCTTGCCGTAATCTTACCATATCTTGTCGGCGTGTCAGTTGATTATTTCTATTTGACTGAAGTTTGATAAGAGAATAGCTGTAGTTGATTCCTCAACTATGTAGGATTTACGGATCATCTTTCACCACACTAAACAAGGTCACAGATACCTTTAAGAGAAAATGGCATTTCAGCCCATAGAAATTCCTGTTTCACTTCAACCGTCGATCTAAAATCGCTTCCGGTTTTTTACATTTTTTATGGTTGTATTTTGATTATAGACGCAGATCAACACAACACGAATAATTCATTGTTGGAAAGAAAGATAGGATAAGATGTGTATTTTTATCTGTAACACCAATACTTCGAATAAATCAATGCGAGCGAAAGGTCAACGGTGAGAGAGAAAGAGAGAGAGAGAGAGAGAGAGAGAGAGAGAGAGAGGTGGGGTGGGGGTGGCATTAACAGCTCGAGCTAGCCAGACTAGCTTTAAAATGTTATAAACGGATAAATCAATGCTAGCGAATGATCAACGGAGAGAGAGAGAGAGAGAGAGAGAGAGAGAGAGAGGGTGGGGTGGCATTAACAGCTCGAGCTAGCCAGACTAGCTTTAAAATGTTATAAACGGAGTCACTCTGTTGATTCCACTCAGAGGTTGTCAACTGCACCTACCCCACCCCCGGATCCTCCCCTGATATCTTGTATTGTTTTAGTTTTGGAGATAAAGTTGTAGGAAGGGGTGTAAAGATGTGAGTTTTACAACATCAAGATGACAATGTACTGTGGTATCTGAGTTAACCCTGACATGGACAGCATTCGTGTACTTAAACACCTGTTTCTTATATTCAATTTAACATCTTATCAAATACTACAACATAATTATTTTAATCCCAAGCTTGTATATATGTTATATATTCCACTGTTACTTTAGTCTGGTGACCGGCTCGCCCTAGCGATACCTATCTCGTTATTGTGACCGTTAGCCAGTGTTTGACACTCGTTATCAAAAGTACAGTTTTAACAGTTGGAATAAGCTACAACCCCCAGAAAACAGAACTACGATACCTCCGGACTTGGTCGTGCGGAATTCTGTAGAGGTGTATGGATTAGTGTCGTTTTTATAGAGCCGTGAAGTTTAATTTGGTTTTATATTGACATCAGGATGTCGGTCCGTTCATCCACCCGCCCCAATAGTCTGGAGGCTCAGCGCGGGGGGTCCATCAAATGGGCACAAAACCAGACCCAACTTTTCTAGAGTAAAATTTTGCGTAGAATACGATGCCGAGTGGTAATCAGTCCGCCGTTCGGGAGTTTTTGAGATATTCGGGGTCAAAGGTCAAATGAGTTCATTTGCACCGAAAGTGAATGCGCAGTCATTCTTGAATTATCTCTCAATAAAAATTTAAAACTTGCTAAATTCAACTTTAGTCTTAGTGACCCTGGAGGTCAAAAGGTGAAATTTACCGTGTTTGCACTGGGACGATTTAAAGCAATGAAATGTCAACGTAAAATATAAAAACTAAAGCGAAACCTATTCTAATTAATAACATCTTTAGGTGGTCTTAGCCACCGAACTTTTACTTTGGAACTCTACATGGCTGCCATATCCAACAATTACTATACTGTTTTGTTATGCGATCATACTCCGGTTCACGTCTGTTAAACACAAAAAAAAGACTAATTAAAGTTGCAATTTCATATTTTTAAGTTATATTTTTAAAATTGATTAAAATATAGCCTTAAAATGGATGGTATCTATAAACAGTCCTACCTTGTTAAAGAATAATCCTATTAATCCTATAATTCACTATTGCCAGTTGAGAAATTGGCAAAAATATCATTTTCATCTTCAAATTCAAACGTTTGAAGATAAATACTCCATGGTGGAGAATAGAAACCAAGGGAGGTAATTGGGAGGTAATTGTGTTACTATTTCTGGTGTAAATGAGTTTCAAGTGTGAGAATGACACCTATGATCGTATAATAGTGAGTTGACAACCTATTGAGCAAAAGACATAGAAATAATTATGTTTTGACTCTCTTAGAAAATATGAAATTGTAACTTTAAACCTTTTCAATTTTATTAAATGAAAGCAGAGTTTAGGAATTAAAATGTTGGTCAACTTATAGCTTAGTACCTATTCTCAAGCAGAGCTTATTGTAGAGACAGACAGCGTAAGTTTAGTTTATTTCTGATAAAGAGCGACAAGGGACATAACTCTTTAATGCTTAGAGATTATTTTACACAAACTGTGAGGTGAACGGCATGAGACGATGTGTTTAGTTTACTAGTTATTCCTGGCCTTATCACACCCGGGAATTTATTTATATCAATTATCCCCGACCCCACTCCCTTTTTTTTGTCGGTCTATTGTATTTCTGTTTTTCAGTGATTATCAGTTTTACTGTTTGTATAACTGTAATATTTGCGCTGTCCTTTCTCAATCATACATTATGCAAGAGCTAAACCTTGCCTATTGCTGGTCTTTCTTTAGGTATGTAATGTTATCTAAATTATTAGACATTAATTAACTTATCCAGACCATATTCAACTCTCGATGTCATCGCCAGCCTGCGATATTTACTGGGTTAGGATCCGATTTGCTGGTCAACTTTCATTCATGTTTAAATCATGAGGTGGATAATCTAGACTATGTTTTTTTTTATCGTGCCGACTTTAGTAATGATGATCGAGGCTAGACCCAAAATTCAATTGCTAAACTCTTGGTTCAGAGTGAATCAATTTGACTGCAATTTTCGGCAAATTCTCTTTACATTAACTAGTTTTTAACTATTATATTATAGAGGACCGAGACCAGGTAATATCTCGGTTCAGAGTGGAGCAATTTGACCTCAAATTCCCTTTACATTATTTAGTTTTTACTATTAGGCTATAGTGAGAACTACCAGCTCTTTATCTAATCTCCGATATCCTGTCGCGGATTCACACCCGGTGTTGGCCGAAAAAATTCATCGAGAATTTCCGGCATGCCTCCCCATTACCAGTTGTGCAGGGCGGAGGGCCTGACAAGGACAGCTGTCTAGTCGTTCGGATGAGACGAAAAACCGAAGTCCCATGTACACATTGGATTTGGAATTCGATATAAGAGTAGGCCGTAGCGCCGCTGGCTTGGAAAAAAATTTCCATCATAGCACAATGTATGGCGTATGTCTGTCTTCATTAGCCCAGTCGGAGCAGAACAGTGGAACGTTAAACCCCATTTCATTTCATTTCATTTCTATTCTCAAAGTAAAGTAGACAGTTCTTTGTGTGCAGGGGATGGGGGGTGGCCGAATGGAGAGGTGTGGTTTCGATTACCCAGTTGTACGTGACAAGGAGTAGGGTCGCCTGTCCAACCTCGTAGGTTTTCTCCGGGTCCTCCGGTTTCCCCCCACTGCTAAAGACCCCTACGCGCAAGCGAATTATTGAAATAAAGTTGAACCATGTGTTAGTCCCGAAATGAGCTGGTTTGTTTCGAGTGGACGTTTAATCCACCTCTCTCTCCCCCCCCCCCCTCTCTCTCTCTCTCTCTCTCTCTCGCTCTCTCTTTGTTTGTAGAAGGTACAGATGTTTCCGGCGAAATTTCGGTCAATGTGTCGACAAATTCGGGCATGTTGTTTTAGTTTACATACATATTATGTTATTAACAAACTGTCAATCATTATGATGTCATGACTCGGTGATGTCACGACCTCGTGACCTATCATCATTCAGTACATGTCTGTGTTCACATGTCAATCACATCACACTTAGTCACGTGACCTCCCTTCCTACGTGGCAACAATGAAGACAATTGTTATTAAAGATACATTAGTTAACATTTTAATAAAGAGTTGGCCATTCTTGATATAACTGTTCAAAAATAGATGATAAAAAAAGCAAACATTGAAAATTTCAGTAAAATTACTTTATTCTGAACTAAATCATCATTGTTGGAAGTTTGGACTAAAAATATACATTTACTGTGTCCGCACCGTCTCCGAGAAATGCCGATCGATTGATTGACAGACCTTAACTCCGCCCACATATTCTCGATTTCGAAGTAGCATTCTCAATGCCTACGGTACTCACGATTGTCAGTTCTTTCATTGACAGGCTCCCGTAGGGACGTCAGCGATTAACGATAAATGTTAGTTTGGTCAGCCATTTTATGATTTAATTATTAAATGGACGACTGGTTAAATCCAAGTTGTATCCACGCCATCCGTGGGTCTACAGAGTTGATTTTGAGCTTGTCAAGTAAATAATGGTCTAATTAATAATTTCTATAACACCTGAAGCTAATAGAAAGACTTGCAAGAGGCAGAGTTAGCTCCTATCTTTAATAATATTTTAAACTAGAAATATGGTAGAAAGTTTAAAACTTCAAGTCAGATTTTGGATATCTCAAATAGAGAGTGAGTAATGGGGTTTCGGGACTAACATATGGTTCAGTTTTATTTCAATAATTCGCTTGACCGTTGGGGTGTTTAGCAAAGGGAGGAAACCGGAAGAACAGGAAAAACCCAACGAGCTTGGACATCTGGGCCCTGTTTCACGAAATTTTAACTAAAGATAAAATCCAGATTTTAGTAGATACTTCAATTTTGATTGGCTAAGCACTAAAATCAATCTAATATTATCCAATCAAATTACTAAAATTTGGATTTTATCTTAGTTAAAATTTCGTGAAACAGGCCCCTGGCTCAGTGAGATAAACACTAGGTCGCTTACCAGGGGATCCCGTGTTCTATCCCGGTGTTATCCGAGAAATTTCATCGGGATTCTCCCGCCTGGTATCCCTTTGTATGTGGTTTAGGGTGGAGGGCCTGCCAAGGACAGTAGTGTTGTCGTTCGGATGGTACGAAAAATCGGGGTCCCAGCTCACGGTTAAATATCTTCTTCCAGATAACAAATGCCAAAAAATATTCAAATTACAACTTCAAAGAATAAAAAAAAAATATAAAGATTATATAGGATATTACAAAAGACGTGTAAAAGCAGACTGAAACTATATGTATAAAGAGTATAAAGACATTCAGAGGCGGATCGTGGAATTATTATAGGAAGGGATTTGCCAAGTTCCCTTTAAAGGGACAATAACACTCTGGCTGGCTTGACAGCTCAAGAAAATAAAAAAAAAAGACTTATTCTAAGTACTAGATGTGTTAGTGTCTTACCTGTTGTGTAAATTATCCATTAAATCCTATTTTACTTGTCCAGAGGGTTCAAAAATATTTTTAAATCCAAGTC